TTGGTGCAGCTCAGGCCATTGCAGCCATTTAGGGAGTGAACCAGCAGATGGAAGACCTCTCTTTCTCTCTGCCTCTCCTCTCTCTGTGTAACTCTGACTTTCAAATAAATAAATAAACCTTAAAAAAATCTGGCATTTCTAATGCAGCATGCAAACCTCAGACACTGTTCCAAGATACAAAGCATCGGGGAAGCTAGAACCATAAACAACCTTTGAAACGTGTTTGAGTCATCAGATAGTAGAACTGAATCATAGAGGAAGTGAGCTATGGGAGTGGCAGTTCTGGCACACAGCCTCTGAGTTTTTGGGGACTCCTCCCATGAGCTATGGGGTCCATGTCTTCGTCCCTTCAACTTGGGTGCAGTGGTGACAGTCATGACCAACAGAGGCGGGCAGAACTGAAGTCTTGTGACTTCTGAAGCTCGGTCATAGAAGGCATGTTGCTTCTGTCTCGTTTGTCAGGATGCCTGGTCTTGCAGCCCTGGGTCTCCATGTCAGGGTTTGTTGTAACCCTCCATGGTCCAAACCCATTGGGAAGCCACGCCTAGGTGCCGAGTCGACAACCCCAGTTGAACACAGTCTTCAAGCTATCCCAATCCAGATGCCAGACACATAAGGAAAAGCTTCCAGACAGTTCTTGGCCTCCACCACAGTGTCCAAGTTGCCATCGGTTTTTGAGTTCCCCCAGCTGAGGCCCAGACATTGTCAGGCCTATCTCCAAAGTGTTCTGTCTGGATCCTAGACCCACTGAATTCATGAACATAATAAAGTAGCTGTTGTTTTGCACACCTTTGTTGGGGGGTGGTTTGTTGTGTAGCAATGGGTCAAGTAACGTGGGATCAACTCTCAGGCAGTCATGGGGTACAGTGTGAGCTTTCCAAGCCCCGATCTTTGGTTGCAAATAGCACAAGGGTTTGTTAAGTGTCCTTTTAACTTCCTTGGACAAATCCTCGGATCAGATATCAATACCAGATACAGTTTTCCTTGCTCTCAGATTTATCCTGGTCTCATCTTTCAGAAATCCCAGGTTTTGGTTGTGGTGTTTGGAGTAGCTCATGGAGAGGTATCCCATGAGGTCCAAAGGAGTAGATCAGTTATCACGGGTATGATGACAAATTACAGCTCCTCCCCCAGCAGGAGAGGAAGAACACAGAGCTTACTGAGATAGTCTGTGTGCTCTGAGAAACAGTGCATGGCTGGCCAAGCATTAAGAATTTGTTCTTGAGTAAATCATAGCTGAGAAGTCTTTTTTGGTAAAAAGCAAGTTTACTGACGAGATAATTCAGAGTTGAGTGTGTAATTGCTCTAGTTTGCATAAGCTTGAGTTTAGTTAAAATAAAACGTTTACCACGTGTGGCATGTATTCTTTTAATACATTTTGGGAAGCAGGCATTGCTAGGACGGGAAGGTTCTGTGCTATCTTGCTATGTCACTATTAGAAACACAGCCTGGCCCACGGTCTGTGGCCCCAGGGATGTGGCTGAGGCCAGCTGTGAGAGAAGACAACAGGAGCAGATCTTGGGCTGGGGCCTCACCCTGCTCACCAGGGTGAAATTCTTGATCATTTTAAGCAAGGCACTCATGTTGTGCCACTGGTCCTGGTTCAGTAGAGGGATGAAACCCATCGAAAGGGCTGCTGAAGAAGAGCAATTGCTTGAGGTGTGATTGCTGGCCTGCTTGAAGGCCTTGTTTCCTCATTCCATTGGGCAACAATTCTTTTTCTTTAAAAATTCTCATTGTCCTTAAGCATTCCCATTTTCTTTGGCTCCTCTTGGACGCACAAGCTGTGTCTGTCCAGCTACACAGTGGCACCACTCTCGCTGGGGACCCTCCAGTAAGAGAGGTCTTGTCCTGTTTATGTCACCTTCAGTCCCTGTGAATCCTGGGAAGCTCCCTGAATGGCTGGGTAGACCATGCTGTCCACCTTGACCTGGGCTTCTCAGGGGCATCGGGTTTGCAGAGGACTAGTCAGGCTGGGCACCAGGAACCTTGAACAGCCTGTGTTCTGGGGTCACCCTTTCTTGGGTCATGGTTGGGGAGGTATGGCTGGGAACATCAGCAACTCTGCGTTCTCTCATTGAGGAGGGCTAGACAGTGGGAAACAGTCCCCATACCCTGTGTGTATATGGTGCTTGGGAAGAATTCACCTGCCTAGATAGAACTGGCCTTCCAGGTCTGGGAATGCTATATATTTCATTCATTCATTCATTCACTCATTCATTCATTTGCAAGTCAGAGTTACACAGGGAGAGAAGGCGAGGCAGTGGCAGAGGGCAGAGAGAGAGAGAGGGAGAGAGTGAGAGAGAGAGAGAGGGAGAGGGAGAGAGGTCTTCCATCCACTGGTTCGCTCCCCAAATGGCCTCAATGGCGGGAGTTGATCCAATCTGAAGCCAGGAACCAGGAGCTTCTTTTGGGTCTCCCATGCGAGTGCAGGGGCACATGGACTTGGGCCATTCTTTACTACCTTCCTAGGCCATAGCAGAGAGCTGGATTGGAAGTGGAGCAGCTGAGATTTGAACTGGCACCCATATGGGATGCTGGCGCTGCAGGAGGCGGCTTTACCCACTACGCCTATATACTTTAGATGTCAGTGTTACACAAGGAAGACTTGCTGCATGAGTTCACAAAGGTCAAGCTGTGCCTGGCATTTCTTGGAGCTGCTTGTCAGACTTCTAAATTTTGCTAACCAAAACCAGACCAGGTGACCATCTGAGGATGTCCACCTCCACATTAGGTGGCACCCCTCCTGGACTGTCTCTCTGGACTGTCTCCCTACACAACCTCGGACGCCTTGAGGACAGGTGCTCTGTCTTCCTCATCTTTGTATCCCTGGCCAGTCACACCCTGGGGCTTGCACGACGTTTAAAGGAGGATGAGCAGTGAGACACAGGCTGAAAGCCAGAGCCAAAGGACAACAGTGGAGGAGGCTGGAAGAGGGTAACCATGAGGACTGCACAGTCTGCAAGAGAGGGAAGCAGGGGATGCATAGGCAGGGGTGAGGCCCAGGTCCTCTCTCTATCTCAGTAGGGTAGGTGAGTGGTTGTGACAGCTAAGGGAAAGACCAAGATGACTGTGTGGGGTGAGAGATAACAACTCGACTGGGTAGAGGATACGAGGGACTGTGTAATGTGGGACTTGTGTTTCCTGCACTTTCTGCCCCTCAGCAAGGCGCTGAGTGCTCACTGAATGCATAACAGACAGGTCTGGGACAGCTCCGGTGTTCAGGCTGCCCTCAGGGTGCCTGGGAGGTGACAGTTGCACAGACACCACTCAGTGTGTCCACTCTGGTTTCCCTCTCTGCTCCTGTCTCAGCGACCCTTAGAATGTTGATCTGAGGCAGCCACAGCCTTCCCCTCTGTCTGCTGGAGAAATCTTGTATTGAATTGTTGGGCTAGGCTAACCCTAGATGGTCTCGGCCCAGCTCTCCTGCTCCGGGCTCCACGTCGGTGATCCTGGCTCTGGGCTTGCCTTGGGTGACAGCTCTGAGCCAGAGAACAACATCCATCCAGTGTCCTCTGTCGATAGTCTCCCAGCATAGGAATTCCACAGCCACTGTGTCAGTCCCTATATTTACCATAAACACACGCAGTGGCCCCAAACCACAGAAATGTGTTCTCTCACAGCTCCAGAGGGTTTCAGGGCTGCATTCCTAATGGAGGCTCCAGGGGAAAAATTTTGTTTTCTGTGTCCAGCTTCTAGACCCTGGCTGGTGGACCCCCCTCCATCCAGGAGCCCTTCCTCTCTCTTCTGATCGTGTGATGGCCTCCAGCCCTCTGGGGGTACAACTTGCCATGTCAGGATTCTTACCTGCATCAGACCTGCAAAATTCCTTGTCTTTGCATGGCAGGTAACACATTCACAGGCTCCAGGGGTCAGGGTGTGACACCTTTGTCAGGAGGGCATGAGGGGAGCCCCTGTCCACCCTGGGCAGCTGCTCCAGTACACTGGCCAGCAGGAAGAGTTCCAGTTTTCTTTCTTTACTTTTTCTTCCCTCTCTACCTCCAATGCCCCTTTCCTTTCTTTCCCTTCTATACTTTAATTTTGCTGAGCAGGTAACACATCCCCATGGTTCAAAAATGTAAGCATCAAATCGCATGGAGTGACACCCAGGTCCCTTCAGTGATGATGTTCCTGGGAGCCTGTGCTATGGCCAGAATGCAGAGCCCTTCCCTCCCAGTGTCCTGTCCACGCCACCCCACTTTGTCCCCAGCCCCCACCTTCCTACTGCTTTTGCCATTGCCCGTCCTCTCTGGCTCCCACCACTCAACAAACAAAACAACCACACCAACGTTTTACACTGCTCCCCGCCCCCTTCATGCCCCCTTCATCATCTACGTGGAGATGAAGTGCCTACAGCCTCCTCTCCCTGCTTATGCAAAAATTCACACGCTATATTATCCTACACTCATTTCCTTTTCTTATTTCGTACATCTTGAGGATTCTTCCCCATCAAGGTCAAGGATATCCTCACTCATACGTTTCTTTTACAGTCACCTAACATTGCCTCGTGGGTAGTTTATCCAACTACTCCTTCCTGAAGGTGGAAAAGCTGGTTGTTCCCAGATGTTGGCTGTTATAGTACACACATTCCCCTGTGTTTAGAGACATGTTAGGGATAAACCCCCAGAAGTGGGGTCAGCATGCCACAGGGCACTGGCACCTGTAATTTTGCTAAGCTCTCCATAGCATCTGCCTTTGCATTGCATTATTTTGTTGACACAGGAGAACTCCCCTGCAGCCCCTCCAAGAGGAGGTTACCCATCTCAGTTTTTTTTTTTTTTTCCCCATCTCAGGTTTTAAAAAGCCAATCCGATAGGTACATCTAGCATCTCAGGGGGCTTCCTTTGTATTAGTCAGGGGGGTCTTCTCTGGGATGCGTATGGCAGGAAGAGGTGAATGGAGCCTGTGGCCCACATCTGCATGCGTGTGTCCCACATGTGTGGCCTGTGTGTGTGGCCTTAGCCCACTGTGCCATCCCCCCGAGAAGCAGCACACAGAGCTGGGCTCTGTGAAGTTTATTTTGCATCCCTGTGAGGCCCTCTGGCTTTTTGATAGGAGCTGCGGGCTGGGACCCTTCACACAGGCCTGTAGGTCCCGTTGAAGGAAAAAGGGGGTGGCATCAAACAGTCCTGATCCTCGGGGATCCAGCGCTGCACATGGTTGGGGCCCTCGGCCCTCGGCCACACGATCACGGTGTCTTTCGATGCCACGGACGGGTCTTCTGGAAAGAAATTGAAGGGGCGGAGCAGGAAGCCCACGGAATTCCCAGGCGTGGACGTGTTAGGGATGTCCTCTGAGTGGGGGATGTGCAGGAAGCCCACCGTCACCCAGGCCACCAAGTCCTGGGGGAGAGAGAGCAGGTGTCAGTGGGGAGGGTGATGCTGGGTGGCCACTGCCAGAAGTCGCTCTGGCCTTCGGGCATCTGCGGTCATTCCCGGCAATTCCTGGAACCCCCTCAAGCCACATTTTACAGAGATGGGCGGGTCTGTTGGGACCTCTGCGCTGTCCTCCATGCGCTAAGCCACTGCTCCCAGGATGGGGACAGATCTGGACAGAGAGTGACACGGCCAGAGGCAGGCAGAGGTGGGGCCGAGGTCAGGGCCGGTACCTCATGCTCAATGTTCTCATTGTTGCGCAGAAACTCCTCAAAGACCACGGGGGGATCCCAGGGGTCGTTCTGGTTGTAGATGCTGCTGCTGCACTGCTCGGACTCCCGGTACTTGGTCACTGCCAGGGGGTACCTGTTAGGCCGAGCAGAAGCCAGGGGGCCATTGGTGTCGGGATGACCTCGCAGCTCCCCTAGGGAGCATCTCCAAGGTCATTGACGGGGGAAGCTTGCTGCCTTCCCCCAAGGGAGAGATCTTCCCTGGGAAGCAGCCAGACTGAGGCAGGTGCTCAGCATGTGTCCCCTGTTGCCTCTTCCCGAACAGCCAGCCACACAGCCACACAGCCACACAGCCATAGAATCTCACAAGCAGAAACACAGGTACTGAGGGCTGTCCTTGACCCTCCCTAGCTCCTCTGGGTCTCCCCACCTGGCCCAGGTGACAGCTCGCTCCTCCTGCCAGCCAGGGGGCAGCACTTGGTCAGCCATGGAATGGATCTGCAGGCGGTAGCTGCGCTTGTGGCCCCAGGGATTCTCCTTGGGGCTGGCAAAGAGCAGATACTTGGGCAGAGTCCGGCCGAAGCGGAAGGCCGCCTGGCGCTCCCGGAGGTACTGCGTCTCCTTGAGAGTGGGCTGGACCAGGTGGTGACTTGGGCTCCAAGGGTTGGTGATGTTTTCTAGCTTCATCTGCAGGGTCTGGAAGCTGTTCTTGGTGCCTGAAGGTATGCAAGGAGAAGGAGAGTGAGCTTCAGAAATGAGCCCTCCTCATTCCACACTGGGATCTCTATGCTGTACTGTACCTGCCAGTCATAAGGATGATGCACTGGCCTAACTATTAGGGTCGGGAGGAAGGGACTATAAGAACCAACAACCAGAGGGGCTTGGAGACAACTCAGGGGCCTGTTACGGCAGCTGCGGTGATTGATTCCATTACAGCCCGGGCTGCGTCTTTCAAGAGCTGTGCTCAAGTGCATTTGCTGTGGCTGCAGGCACAGAGAAGGGGAAACTCATCTTCCTCCATGTATGAGAGACTGTCCAGTGTGACCGAGGCCCAGAGGGACAAATGGGGCTAAATGTGCAGAAGTCACTGCTCTGGTCTTGGTGGCCTGGTGTTATGTGATTTGACATCAGGCTGCCCGGCATTACACCCATGCTATTCTCTCGTGGTGACATCACTCCATCTCACAGCATTGGGCAGTGACATTTTTTACCTCCTGGGCACCACTCTCACTCCTACCTCATGAATACCTAGCTGCTCAATCCTCTCTATAGATCTCAACCCAGCCCTGGGGCTAGGACAGGATGCACAGTGTGGCAGCCAGGGGGAACCCTTGGGGCACCATTCACTTTCCCCATTTTCTGGGGACACACAGACGTATAGCTTCAGATTTCACAGAGGCAACTGTTCCTGGCTTTGTGCTCCCAGGGGAGTTTTAGTATCACTTCCTGGGGCTGGGTGCAGGCATTTACTCACAGGAGGCTTGTGCTGAGTCCTACCTGCAACATCCAGGTCGATGCGGTAGTGCACTAGGTGGGTGTGCAAGTTGCCCATCAGGTGAGTGTGAAGGCGCGAGCCGTAGCGCAGCCCCTCGGGAGTGTAGAACGTGGCGTGGACGTAGCCGGTGGCGTGCATTTTGGCTTCCAGCACCCCATTGGGATAGAAGATGAAGTCCCAAATGTAATCGTAATTGTAGACCGTCGACGTGGTCCGAAGCACCAGCACCTGGCCCTTCAGCCCTGCGTAGAAGTTGAAGCCACCACTGAAGTTGGAATCAAAGTGCCTCCGTAGGGGCACCCCTGTGGGCATCTCAAAGAGGCAGAGGGCCCGGGGGTAGCGCACAGGCTCATCGGCGTCATAGTAATGGAAGGTGTCCAGGAAGGTGGCGGTCTCTGGGCAGTCGATACCAGGGGCTAACTCATGAGTGACAGTGCCCAGGCCCCAGCCCACGTCGATGTACTTGGTCTGCATGCCCGCGGGCGTGTGTCCTCCGTACAGCGCCACGGCCTCTTGCACGCTGACCTCGTAGGCCACGCGCTCACCCCCAAAGTGCACATTCAGGACCTGCAGCCCCGAGGAGGAACGCAGCCGGAAGGCGAAGCTCCAGCCCCCGTAGAGCACGGCATTGCCCTCCAGCTTGTAGCGCGGGCCCTGTGGCTGGACAAGGCGGGGGCCATCCACATTGATGGGGGTGGGGAAGTCCCCGCGGGGCTTATAAGAGGAGAAGAGGGGTGGCTCCTCCATGCTCTCGGCCCCCTGGCCACTGGGCAGTGGGCCCTCCAGAATCACCACATCCACCTCTCCATCTGCATACTTCTGAGCCAGTTCCTCCGGGCTCCTGTAGAACTTTCCGTTGTACCAGACCTGCTCTACCGTCCAGTCCTGGGCATTTGTGCTCCCATGATCCACAAGCAGCTCCAGCCCCGTGGGATGCAGGAAAAAGCCTTCTACAGAGCGCTGTAAGATAAGCCAGCTGCGGCGCTGGCCGGACGCTAAGCCGCGGGGGGCCACGTCGGTGAAGGTCAGGCACCTGTTGTGGCAGTCTTGGTACGAGAAGCCAGTGGTGTCAATGAAGAACTGATGCAGGGGCTTGGTGGCCTCCTGCACCACCTGGTGGAGGAGGGTGTACTCTGCAGCGGAGATGGGCCGGGAGGCCCAGGATGGCCGGCGTGCAGGCCTGGGGGACAGTGCTCGCATGTAGTAGGGCCGCGGCAACGGCCCCACAGCAAACTCTGTGACATTGGGGTGCTCCTGGGCTCCAAAGAAGATGACAGCTCGGGCTTCCCGAACAGGACGCTTTTCACCTTTATCCAGAAATTTCAGCACATGATGCTTTTTGGGCAGTAGCATCTCGATGAGAAACACCGAGTTCTTGGCCATGGTCGGTGCCCTGGAGGGTTGCAACCCTAACTCTTTCCTGGACCAGAGGAAGCTGTGCACAGCTTTCAGCTCTTGGGCGCTCAGGTCTGCGAATACTCCAGCCTTGCTGCTCAGGGTCTGCGGGGAGGGCTCCGCCGAGGCCATGTGCAGCACCAGGAGCACCGCCGCCACGGTGGTCCAGCCCAGGGCCAGCTTCTCTCGCCCCATGGCTCTGGAATGGAGGAGGAGGAAATGGATTTCATCAGGCAAGGGTCCTGGAGTATAGACCTCGCCCCACCCTTGCCTGAGGCAGTCTGCAGGGGTAGTTGTGGCCACACACAGCTGTCTAGGCCTGTGTCTGCATGCCCTCAGGGGTTAGTCTGCTTGCTCCCAGCTCCTCCGGAAAGCTCTTAGGGTCCTGTGGACTCTCTTACCCCAGTGAACTCCTGCCCTTCCACCCTTTCCTTGCATTATCTCAGCACAGCAGGGCACTACCCAGCCTGTGAATCCCAATTGACCTGAGGCCCTGCCTCCTGCAGGCCTCAAAGTTCTGCTGTGCCCTGGAGAGGCGGAGAGCTGCTCTGACAGCTAAACTACTGTTATGATCCAACAGAATACTTTTGAAGCAGATACAATCAGGCATCTAGTGTAGGAATTCGAAGGGCAGACTTGCTGGCATAGAGTCTTGGGTAGGTCATGAAACCGAGGCAAGCTGTGTGACATCATTGGCCATGTTGCTCAAACTAGGGGTGGGGGCTCTCTTTCCTGGACATAAATATGGAAAGGATAACAGCAGTGTTAGGCGGGAGGTTAGAACTAGCCCACGTGTGTGAGAGGGGCCTAAGGAAAGCAAAGCCCCTGCAGGAAGGAGTTAGCAGCCCCAGCAGCCTTGTAAGCACACCTTGGAAGCGGCCCGGTATTTTACACCATGAAGTCCTGCCCATACCCAGGTAACTTTATAAGTGGTTCCAGCCTTCCCCCAAGGAAGGTAACCTAGGACAGTCCTCTCTGCCCAGCGCCAGGTGGGCTACTCAGACTCATATCATCGAGTAATAAACCTTGGGAGGAATTTTACCTACTTCACATCCAGCACACTCTTTGTCCAGAAGAAAGAAGGAGGAAGGAGAAAAAGGTGGGAAGAAGTGGACCCCACACCGTTATAAACGCCAGTCTAAAGGTAAGCTCAGCAGTCTGACTGTGTCTGGAGAGATGCCCACCTGTTCTGCAAGATGCCCTACCCCATTAAACCTTGCTGCCTTGCTAACCACTCCTCTCTGTCTCACGTCTGAATTCTTGTGCAGACAAGAACCTCTGCTGTAGCCATTTCCACTAGCAGATACTTACTTCTTAGGGTTGGGGGGAGAAATCAGTTGGATGTGTTTGCAACAATGCTTACCCTATAGGATATTTGCAAAAGGTGTTGGCTACCTTTATAGTAAATCTTGGTGAGACAGCCGTGACACCTGCATGTTTAACATTTTAAGCAGTGACTGTGATGAGGCTGTGGGGGTGCGGTCAGGGTGATAGCCCTGCCCAGTCTCCTTTGGCACAAGTGGAGCCCTTGCGTCAGTCTAAAGCTGGCAGGAGGGTGCCTTGGGAGGTCATCCCAGTAGTAATTCAGGGAGACGCCTCTTCTGCTTCCCTTGTAGGAGGAGGGTGTGCTCAGTCTTCACCTCCTAACCCCAGGCTCCCAGTAGAATCCTGGGCTACAGCTGACTGTATCTGGAAAGTCTCCCTCAAGGTCTCGGTGTACACAACCCACTCCATCTTCCCTCATGCCTGGGGTGGGGCCTGGCTGTGTGCGCAGAGTCTCTGGGAGACCTCAGCTCTTGCATAGCCACTGTTTCTCCAGACCCTGCATTGTCCCCGAGGGGGCAGCCGGGCCCCTGCGTCACATCTCCATTGGGAAAGAGTTTCCTTTGTTGACATCCTAAAGGCTCTGCCAGACCTTGGAGTCCTGCTCCAGGATCCTGCCTGTCCCTGGCTCTTTCTCCCCTCCTGCAGATACATTTGGCTGACTTGCCGCATGGACATGAGGATGGTTGAAGGATTCTGAGCAGTTCTTGCTTTCACAGGCAATGCCTTTTTCTCCCTGATTCAGAAACTTCTGGAGAAAATAGTTTCTACTTTGCAATCCTGAGCCTCAGGGCATCAGCCTTGCATGGCTTCCTCCCAGAGCCCAGGGGCCAGGAGGGGCTTGTGGGGCGGGGTGGGACTTGGGGTGCATGCCACCTAGAAACTCGAATTCACAGCAGGAACTAGGTGTAGCTGTGAGATAGCAGCGCTTCCCTTGGGCTTTCTTCAGCAGGAAAGAGAACCCAAAGCACGGTGGGCACTGTCACCTGTCCTATTTCCAATTCACAAGTGTTGGCAACACGGCCCCTTGGTTCACTAGAGACCCTTTTTCTTGTGGATTCTTCCTTCCACACAAACTCAGCTTCACAGTGTCCCCCCATCCATGCCAAATTCATTTCCTGTACCTTCTCTGAAGGTTGGCTAAAACCCTATAGCAACCAAGAAGTTTATGTTTCTGGCTGTGTCTACCTTAGTTCACTTCCTCACTCATTGTCCCTCAGCTCTTTGTCATTCTGTTATATTTAGCTTGCACACTAATGGGCATCTCTTGAGAGTGGCTCAGTAAAATGTGTTTGCTGGGCCTGTTCTGTCATTTGATGAGCAAGTGGGCTACTGGGGGCTCTCCCAGCCCTGGTGCTCAGTCAAAGCTGGCTTGAGACGTCCTGTCTCTGAAATCTCGGGCTGCACTATCCCAGGACTCTCACACTGCTCTGGTTTGCTTCATGGTCTGGCCCATCATGGGGACTTGCTTCTGGTTGTCCTGTCTTGTTTATCTGGCACTGGTGGGAAGGCCCAGGGACCCATAGGTTCTTGTGATTCCAGGGCCCAGGTGAGACTAGGGTTGCTAGATAGGTAAGAGGTGAGTTCTTTTAGTACTATTTTAATAAATCTTTCTCTCTCACTAGACTTTATTTTTTAGAGGCATTTTATGTTCACAGTAGAATTGAACAGAAGGTATCAAGAGTTCCTCTGCATACGCAGCCACTCTAACTCAGCATCCACCAGAGTGGTGCATATGTTACAACTGGTCAACCTACTTGGACACATCATTATCACCCAGCATCCATAGCTTATGTTAGGGTTCCCTCTTGGTGTTCTGTGGGTTTTGACTACTGTGTGATGACGTGGTTAGAATGACATACAGAACAGTCTCACTGCAGTAAAAGAGCTTTGTGCTCTGCATGTTCAACTCTTCCTCCCCCAGCTCCTGCCAACCGTTGACCTTTGATTGACCTTTGCCCTTTACGAATGCCCTATAGTTGGAATCTTACAGCTTGTGGCCCTTTCAAACCAGCTTCTCTCACTAAGTAGTATGCATTTAGGGGACCTCCAGCTCTTTCCATGGCTGGCTTTTTTTTTTCTTTTTAACAAAAAGATTTATTTTATGTATTTGAAAGGCAGAGGGACAGACAGAGAAGGAGAGACAGAAAAAGAAAGACATCTTCTACTCACAGGTTCACCCCCCTCCCCAAATAGCTGTGATGGCTGGGGATAAGGCCAGATTGAAATCAGGAGCCAGAAACTCCATCTGGGTTTCTCATGTGGGTGGCAGGACCCAAGTACTTGGACCACCACCTGCTACTTTCCCAGGAGCATCAGCAAGTAGCTGAAACAGAAGTGGAGCAGCCAGAACATGAACCAGAGCTCTGATAGGGGATACTGGCATTGTAAGTGATGGCTTAATTTGCTGCATCATGCCATGGGCCTTAGATTTTTTTTTTTCCTTACAACATCTATTTTGCTTTGCCAAGCAGAAGGGAGGAGGGAGATGTGGAAGGGACCTTTGCCTTCCCCAGTATGGCCCTCTGTTCCAATGTCCATGTGAATAGCATGGGAGGTGGACAATGGGAGTGGGACCAGGAAGGACAAGGAAGAAGCTGGTGCCTGGTGAGCCCTCTGTGCTTAGCCTAGCGGGTTGCATATGTGGCTCCACCCCCAATTCCAGTTTCCCACTAACACAGACCCAGGGAAGCAGCAGGTGATAACCCAAGTGATTGGATTCCTGCTCCTCTGTCACGTACCTCCTTTTTGCACTTTCTTCCCCACTCACCCATGGCTGGTTGATGGCTGCAATCAAAGCATTTTGCACCTCCCTCTGGGCCCTCACTCTTAGCCTTTTGCCCCACTCCTCTGCTTTTGCTCCTCACTTCGTGCCCCTCTCCCTGTGCTCGCTCCCCTCCCCAGGCAGCCCCTCCTTGGCTCTCCCCCAGCACCCATCAGAACGCACCTGTGTGCTCTGCTCCAGCTCACCTCTGCTGCCAGCCTTCGTTCCTGAGCACTGAGCCCTGACTCCTTCTTGAAGTCTACAGGACCCCGCCCTCCAGGGAGGGACAGGAAGGGGCATGGGCCAAACAAGGTGGAGCTCTCTGGCTTGGGACTTCTCTGGTAGGCAGGGACAGTGGTGGTGAAGGAGTGCTGCAGCAGTCAGCACCCGTGTCCTAGGTGTGTTTCCCTGGGATTTGTTGTGTCACAGCACTGCTTTCCAGAAGCGTAGTCTTTGTCTTGCTGTTATGAACTGCGCAATACCGTAATCTGTTAACACAGATGGTGCATTTCAGAGACCAGCGATAAGGACAGGGGAAAACTTCCTGGCTGGTAGTCCTACCTGCAGGAGACACATAGAGCAAGGAAGAGGCTCATTGAGAGTGACACCCACAGCAGAACAACGTCTGACCCATATATAGAATAGGGCACCTGCAATGGAGCAAGTTGGGAGAGAGGTGACCCCAGGGGCAATCCTGCAAACCATCTCTGGGACCCAGGCAGGGTTCAGAAAGGAGGGAGGACGTGGCTGGGATCAAAGGTCATTGGGCCGTGTATGGCACAGAGGAGAGGGAAAAGGGAAAGGGGGATGGGTGGCACCTATGCAGGGGGGACAGATCTGGAATGGCTGAGGGGCAGGTGTTTGGTCTAGCAGTTAACACACCCCATCTCACACTAGGGTGTCTGGGTTTAGTGCCTGGCTCCAGCCCAAATTCCAGCTTCCTGCTAATGCAGACATGGAACACAACAGGTGTTGGCTCAAGTGATTGGTTTATTGCTGTACCTCTGGGAGGCCTGGGTTATGCTCTTGGCTCTTGGATTTGCAGTCATTTGGAGAGTAAACCTGAGTATAGAAGCTCTTTCTGGCTGTCTGCTTCTCAAATGAAAAATAAGAGAGAGAGAGAGAGAGAGAGAGAGATGATAAAAATCTCCCTGACCATAAAAGAACTAGAGAGGCTGAGTTGGGCTGGGAAGGAGAGTGTGAGTCCTGGTTGGAGGGGAATAGACTTAGGAAAAGTGCACACTTGGCTTGGGAGAACCGAGAGGTCATTATCCCCTTGGTCACCAAGGCTGAATTGCTTCTTATTTTGTGGTTACACAGGTCTTTTATTTCTCATCATTATCTTTCCTGCTGTTTGCATTGCAAGTCATTTCCATATTTATTAGTAGCTAGAGGAAGGAAGGAGAAAGCAATTTGTTAACGTGACACTTGCTTGAAATTCCAGAAAATCTTTGGTTTTCTAGTAAAGGATATTAACTTTAAGTACTAAAATAATGATCAATGCAATGACTATGAAAGCTTGCATCTTTCACATTAATGTTTGGAAGGATTGTGAATTGGATGTTCTCAGTTATGAGCTTGCAAACTCCATAGAGAGCTGAGGGGGTTTGGGTGAGAAGAGAGTTCCAGGAGCTACCTAACTGAGACGTAGTCCTGTAATCTGTGTCTGCTCCACCAAGGACGCCATGACAAAGTGAACGGAGTGATGACAGATTGGGAGAAGATACTTGGGACAACTAAACACAAAAGGGAGGGGATGGTGTTTGATCTAGTGGTGAAGACACCAGATAGGATGCCTGTGCCCTGTGTCAGAGTATCTGGATTTGACTCCTGGCTCTGGCTCCTGACCGCATCTTACTGCCAGTGCAGACACCAGGAGGCAACAGGTGATGGATGTCTCAAGTAATTAGGTTTTTGCCACACAGGTGGGAGACCTGGATTGCATTTCTAGTTCTGGGCTTTGGCCCTAGCCCAGTCCCAGCATTTGCAGGCTTCTAGGGAGTGAACCAGCAATGGGAGTGCCCTGCCCCTCTCTGCCTATGCAAAAGAATGAAGTTGGACCCTTACCTCACACCATACACAAACATGAACTCAAAAGAGATCGAAGACCTAAATGTAAGAGCTAAAACTATGTAACTTTTAGGAGAAAACCTAGAAATACATCTTCTTGACCTCATATTTAGCAAAGGCTTCTTAGTTGCGAGTCAAAAGCACAAATAACCAAAGGAAAAATAGATAAACTGAACATAGTTAGTACTAGAGACTTTTGTACTTCAAAAGACTTTGTCAAGAAAGTAAAGAGGCAACCCACAGAAGCGGTGAAAATCCGATATCTGATAAAGTAATTGTATCTATAATATATTAAAAAACTCTAACAACTCAATAGCAGAAGGAGAAATTGTCCAATTAAAAAATGGGCAAAGGGTCTGAACTGCCATTCCTCTGAGGCAGACAGACAAGTGGCCGATAAGCACATGGGAAGATGTTCAGCATCATTAGTGACCAGGGAAATGCAAATCAAAGTAGCAATGAGATGTCGCTTCACACCCACCTGGAGGACCAGAATGAAAAAGCGATGCAATGACGAGTGTTGCCCAGATGTGGAGGCGTCGGAATCCTCACACACTGCTGGTGCTGATGTAAAGTGACCTGGGCACTTTGGAAAGCTGCAGTTCTTCAAATGGCTAGACAGAATTACCATATGACCCGGTAATTTCACTGCTAGGTAAACACCCCAAACAAATGAAAACCTGTGTCTGCACAGAAAGCTCTACATGATTGTTATAGCAGCATTTTCACAATGACCAAAAGGTGGAAACAATGTAGATGTTTATCAACTGATAAGTGGGTACACAAAATATGGCAGACCCAAACAAAGGAATATCACTCAGTCATGGCAACAGACAACTGACACATGCTACAACATAACACGGATGAACCTTCAAACTGTGTGTTCAATGAAAGAAGCCCACACAAAACTGCCATAGGATATGATCCCACTCACATGAAATATCCAGGTTTGGATTAGAAATGTATTTGTGGGACCAGTGTCGTGGTGCTGCCATGACGCCAGCAGTTCATTTGATTGCTGGGTCAAGTCCTGGCTGCTCCACTTCTGATCCAGCTCCTTGCTAATGGGCAGCAGAAAATGGCTCAAGTCCTTGGGCTCCTGCACCCACGCTGGAGACCCAGATGGAGTTCCAGACTCCTGGTTTCAGCCTGTTCCTGCCCCTGCCCTCACCACTGTAGTCATTTGAGGAATGAATCTGCTAATATGGAACCTGGGAAGTAGAAGGGATGGTTTGTGTGATGGATTTCCTGCTGCCCACCTTGGGTGGTAACATCTTCTTGGGGCTTTGGCGTCAGCTAAGCCCCTGCTGACATGGGCTTCTGAGGTATGAGCCTGGGGAGGGGAGCTGTCTGTTTGTCTCTGTCTCTGACATCAAGTAGACAGAAAAATTTTAAAAATGCAAAGTATTTAACAACAAGACGTCATTTTCTATGCATTCCCGGCAGAAGTGAGAAAGCTGGATGCCAAGTGTTGGGGAATGAGGAAGTCTTGCATGGCTTGTAGGGAGGGGGTATAGATGGTAAACAGCCATTCTGGAGCACAATTCACAGGGCGTGGACACATGAGATAGCATCTCACCCTATGGACTCAGAAATTCTGCCACCAGATGCCAGAGAGAGTCTCACCCAGGCTCGGAGGTGGGACGTGGACATGAGCTGTTGTGGAGACAGGGAGTTAGTGCCCACTGGTGGGGCCCTCACAGAGAGAGAAGTCAGTGTACACTCTAGGGCAGTGTGCAACTGTGGATGAAACTCTTGAAAATGGATCATAAGAGGTCGGCGCTGTGGTGCAGTGGGTTAATACCCTGGCCTGAAGGGCTGACATCCCATATGGGCATGGTTTGAGATCTGGCTGCTCCACTTCCGATCCAGCTCTCTGCTATGGCCTGGGAAAGCAGTAGAAGATGGCGCAAGTCCTTGGGCCCCTGCACCCACGTGGGAGACCTGGAAGAAGCTGCTGGCTCCTGGCTTCGGATTGGTGGAGCTCCAGCTGTTGTGGCCAATTGGGGAGTGAACCATTGGATGGAAGACCTCTCTCTCTTTCTCTCTGCCTCTCCTTTCTCTGTGTAACTCTGACTTTCAAATAAATAAATAAATCTTTTTTAAAAAAGAAAATGGATCTTAAGATCCTGGGAAGAAGCAGAAGGGTTGGAAGAGTAAGGTGCCATCATGCAAATTAAAACACTTGCATGGGGCTGATGTTGTGGCACAGGGCAAGCCGCTGCAGGTGTTGTCAGTGTCCCACATTGGAGTGCTGGTTTGAATTCCAGCTGCTCTGCTTCTGATCCAACTCCTTGCTAACACACCTGGGAAGGCAGTGGAAGATGGCCTAAGTATGTGGACCCCTGATACCCATATGAGAGACCCAGATGGAGTTCTGGGCTCCTGGCTTTGTCTTGGCTCTGTCCCAGGCCATTTGGGAAGTGAACCAATGGATGGAAGATCTTGCAGGGTCTTAGTCCACCTGAACGAGGATGGACTGGGTCTAAGGAAAGGTAAGTACACCGATCGCCCGTTTCCCAGCCTCCCTTGATTCTGGAGACAATTAGACCCAGTGGAGAGTCAAGTCAGGCAAGAACTCGTTATTGCATGCATAGCAAAGTCTTTTAAAGCGCAAAACTGCAAAGTCATTGGGGAAGGGCATAAGGACCAACCAATTACTTAAAAGGTCATTTAACGGGGTGATTTTTATAGGACTAGCCATGTGTCTGTACACTCGTCATCAGTTGTCGTCACTTCCCCTGATGTTGCGTGGCCAATTAGCTTCGGTGGTAAACAACTTTGTATTCCACCCACCTTACTTCCTTTGGGCGCCATCTTTGAATTGCCTCGTGTGCCTAATTTCCCCACAAGATCTGTTTCTCTCTGCACATCCCTGTCTCTCTGTCACTTTGTCTTTCAAATAAATAAATAAATCTTCCAAAAATAATAAAATATGTTCATGTAAAACTACCTGACACATTTTAAGTGCTGACACAGGTAACCTGTTAGAACAGTGGTCTTCATACACACACACACACACACACACACACGGCTACTTCAATAAGCTTGCTGTAAAGTGAAATATAAAGAGAAATTTGTTTTGGTATAAAAATGAAATCCTTGCCTTAGTTTTTTCATAATATACATTGTCCATGAATGTTTGGAGGAAGTCATATCCATGTCTTTCAAAATCTTTTGCACCAAGACTTACCTTTTGATTCTGTTTTCCATGAACTTTCTGAAGTCTCCTCATATACACAGCATACA